GCACAACAGTGCCAAAATAGGCATCTAGAGAATGTATCTCCACTAACAACAGGAGAAGGAATCCTCTCTCTTGACTTCCTCTGGAGGTGTTTTATTCATGGTTCAGTGGAGTGCATGGTAAACTGCAACCATGAGCAGAACGCTATTTAAAGGCACTTACATGGGTCAGAACCAGACATGCAATGGTAAACAGGACAAATGAAAAAACAGCTACTTTCCTGGAAGCAAGCAAAAAACCCAAACACATCAAGGGAAGACTGATGTCATTCTATCAAGAATAAAACAAAATTAAATTCAAGGCATGTTTAAAGGTTGTATCTTGTTTCTCATTCGTAGCAAAGCAATATCAGCATGAAGTCTACCAGGGCCCATATAATCCTGCTAAACAGACTGAATCTGGGCAGAAATTGAGGTAGGAAACAAGAATTCACAGTGCTTTGAGAGGAGAATCATCAAAACTAATTATTAACTGCCTCCTACTCTGCTGTGATACCAAAAGTCAACAAATAACAACTCCTAAGCCAAACGCAAGAACCTGAGGTGCGAGGTGGCTGTGATGGACACATACTCCTCTCTCGTTGGTCACCAAACTTTCTAAATACACAGAGATCCTGAAGATGCAGCCTGTTTGATATAGTTCCCCCTAGGCTGTGGAACAAAACTGCCTGGTCATCTCAGGTGGATTCAGAAAGAAGAATGCAACCTGCACACTTCCTCCAGTCCCTCCTACCGACCAGCACTGGAGCAGTCCCAGCACAGATCTCCAGCCACAGCTTGGCAGGGACAAAGAGCTGCTCAACCCCATTGTACACTGGGTGGGGGTGAACCCAGGGCAGTTTGGGATTTACCACTGTACCTTTTAAATATTTACAAAACATATACACAAAACTCTAAAACCCTCAGGAACCCGGGGAAGGGAAGGGAGCATTGAGAACACAGCACAAGGCAGGCAGCAGGAGCATCTGCTTTCGGATTCCCAAGAGAGAGGAGGAGGAGAAGAAGAGAGAGAGGTTTCATATAATTAGATTAGAATGGAAACCACAGGGCAGGAAAAGGCATTCAGATTTTTTTTTTCCTAAGGTGGAGGAAGAACCCAAGAGTGAGTGAGTGGCCTCCAGAAAGATCCATTTCCTTTGCTTCACCATCAGATCACCAAACTTGTTTTTCCATTATTATGTGAATACCAGGTGCTTCGTGCAGCTACACCCCACTCAAACACTGGGGCCTCCCATTTTCATGCTAAGCAGGAATAATCTTGCATTCTTTTAAAAACAGGAATTATTTTACGTAGAGAACGATGCAAAGATACCACAAAACTATTATTTGGGTGTTTTCTCATTCTGTTCAGATTCTGCCCCATTCCTCATACAGGCTATCAGTTTTGCAACTGCTTTTTGCTCCAAGATGACAAAAAAGCAGTAGAAAACAGCATGGTCAAGGACTGGAAGAACATATTTTTGGATCTCTTTCATTTTTCACATATTTATTGAAGGTTCAGGATAAAATTTATCAAGGAACTCTTCAGCAATAATTTGTTTTAACTGAAAACCAGAAGCTTTGGGCTTTAACAACTGCACAAGAAGGTATTTTTCATAGTCTTAAACCAAGCCTTCACAGAAAGCCTGCAATGTTAGTGTTGCCTAGAAGGGAAAGGGCAGCCGCAGGCATTTAATACAGGGCTGTATGGATGGGAGCGAGAGTGAAGTTCATATGTGGAGAGGAAGACACTGCTCTGGAAAGCACAGGCAGTGGGGGATGAAGGTTAGAGCTCACCACTTTTCCAGGCCAGGTATTTTTGTTCTTTCTTTTGCAATTACATACAAACTAGTAGGAATTTGATAGAGGCTAGAGGCTATTCCCAAAGCCAAACAGAAATGACTAAAATCAAGACTAATTCACGGATAGCTCTGGCCTATAAATATCAGAAGAGCAGCAGAGAGCAGAATACATATTTACAAACTCAGCATAGCTGATTGTTTTGGTAAAGCATATAGATTTTTACCCACAAAGGGAAGTAAAACTCTCTAAGCCATATAGTCATTGACTTGTTCAGACTGCCTTATTAAAAAACAAAAAAACAAACAAAAAAAAAAAACACAAAACAACCAAAAAAACCCCAAAACAAAACAACAAAAAAACCAAAACACAGTACCAAGCACAAACAAATTAGGGGAACAGACACTAATTTATTTTGCATACAGATCAACTGCTTTCTGGTTTCCAGCTAATACAGACACTGAAGAAGTTCAGAATGCATCTTGGGCAATGTGGGTGGAAATTTGCAGAGGGCTCTGAACATGAACATACCACAGAATATATGTTGAAGCAAAGAGGCCACTTTAAGACTGTGAACCTCAAATCCAAGCGAAAGGCAATGACTCTAAACTGAAACTGCTTAGCTGAATTGCAACTTCAAAGTCTCTTGTGTGCATGCACACATGTGCACACACGTGTGTGGGGGAAGGAGGGAAATTTTGTTTTAATTGAAAATGGGAATCTTAGCATTGATTAAGTCAAGCAGAGTATAGACATGCACTGTGCAAGCTTCCCCCATAGAGCTTTGGCAATGCACCTCGCTCCTGACCTGCAAAACTCCCTGCTATTCCAGTGCTGAACCTCCTGGGCAGAGAGAGAATCACATCAATTTGTCATTGTGGTAATACTGGTTACGTGATGAGAACCAATTGCCAATTAGGACAAAGATCACTCAATCTCTCTGCAGCTCACCTGAGCAACATTTGAAATCTCATCTCCAAAGAAATAAATTACCATTAACCCTTGACAAAACCTCCCTCTTAAAGATATATTAAGGTGAAAATAGGTGTGTGAATGCAAATTCAGTGGGGAGAGGTCCACACGGGGTAGGGCAAGGGGAATGAAGATGCTTATATTAAGCATCAAATATCTCAAACATGAAAGGTCAGTATCTCAGAAGTGCCGAGTAAGTCTGCAAAATAGAGTAAATAAAATCCTTTCACATATGAGATATGACAGTTTTTTCTATAGAAGTATTTTAATGTAATAAAAATATGGTTGGGGGGGGGTGAGTGGGTGGGTTAGGCTTTGTTCTTACAGCCTCCCATCACACAAAGCTGTTTCACCTTATTCTGCCTTCCCCACAGGGCACCCACCCATTGCTAGTGCAATGCGAATGGGTTGGTATGAAGGCTCAAGTGATTGATTCCCTGTTTATTCAAAAGGCTGGGAACCTGATCCCACATTAAAGACAGGGGTGTCTAGGAGCATTTGTATATGCTGCCCAGAAATGACCATACTTAGAGTCTGGAGTCAGAGGGAACAAGAGACAGTCCCCAAAATAGCTTTTCCCTTCCCTCATCACACTAATTCCTGCTAGCAGAGTATATCCTCTAGGCAATGAACTGCCTTTTACTCTGCAATCAAAACAAGAGAAGCAGGTACAGAAGCAAGACTTACCTTCGAGCCACGCTCATTAAAGATTATCTCTACATCAAGGATTTTGCCGAATTGCTGCAGAGAGACAAGGGAGGAAAAAGAAATATTTATTTTTGGTAACCCATTTTTTCTACCTTTTGGGGGCTGGTGTAGTGCAAGAAGGGAGTATTTCCACTTCTAGTCTACAAGTAAAGGCATAAAATTTCAGTGACATGACCCAGTTCTCTTGGGTTAGTACATACAGATCCTCTTGGTCACAGACCCCAAGTTCTCTCACAAAAGTCTAAAGGAAGAAAAACAATCTCCAGAAGAGTTTTAGGCATTTGAGGCAGCTTTTATTTTCTCCTTTTTAATCTAAACAGTTCTTTCTTCCCTCATTCTACTACTTCATATAAGACATGGTTACATGATTTCATCTCAGACTTCTAACAACATTTCTCAGATGTAATTCACCATTACATCTTCCTCCTGAAGTGGCTATCACAAAGAGAAACTTAACAGTGACATTGTTTCTCTGGAGAGGATAGCCACAAGACTCCCAACCTCAGGGATTCCAAACGCTAAATCGCTTTTCCTGTCACTCCCTTACTTTTCAAAACTCCAAGCCTTCAAAAGAACCGATGGCAGATTCAGAAACCATGAAAATGGCCAACCCTGAACAGTTTGTTTCACAGAAAAAAAGATCATTCAACTTCAACCTGTGACATGCTGCAGGCTGTTGTCTATTCTACCATATAATCCTTAAGGTTGGAAAAGACCTCAAAGGATCATCAAGCCCAACCGTCAACCCACACCACCTAACTCACTAAACCATGTCCCTAAGCACCACATCTACACGTTTCTTGAACACCTCCAGGGATGGCAACTCCACCACTTCCTGGGCAGCCTGTTCCAATGCCTGATCACTCTTTCAGTGAAGAAATTTTTTCTAATATCTAGCCTAAACCTCCCCTGGCACAACTTGAGGCCATTTCCTCTTGTCCTATCACTTGCTACTTCAGAGAAGACGCCAGCACCCACCTCACTACAACCTCCTTCTAGGTAGTTGTAGAGAGTGATAAAGGTCTCCCCTCAGCCTCCTCTTCTCCAGACTAAACAACCCCAGTTCCTAATGCAAGTTTATCACTTATGATACAACTCTGACCTCTGCCTCAGCTTAGAAACCCCAAGGAGAGAAGAGCCCTACTACTCTGCACTGTTTCAACAACTGGTTCCAAAGAGCTCCCTACTGAGCACAAAGCAAATATGAGAAATGAAAGCTACAAGCTAGAGAAGATATTTACCACACTCTAGAACCATATATGAATCACATCTTTCACCCTGGAATATATTCAAATATTTTTACTTAACTGGCCAAATTCAAACCAGTAACCTATAGGTAAAACCATCACCACTTCAAGAGAGTCCCGCAACGCTCTGTCCTCTAGAAGCATTGATGTTTTATTTCCAAACTGGAGGTCTGCTCTCCAGAAAGACAGGTCTAAGATCTCATTTTCAGGAGCATATATATGGAGCAGTCTTCATTCTAGAGGTGCATATTACACTTCTACAAATGCTATACCTGAATGTTTTTCCTATCCCATTATTTACGAAAGATTTCGTCCACATGGTTTTGATCTCACTGCTTGCAGAAAATTTAAAGGTGTCAGCAAATGAAGGGAAGGTCAACAACAAAAGAAAGGATGGTTTCAGTTAGGAAAGATGGTGAACACATCCCTCTGGGCAACAGAGATACTCTCCACTTTGCCACAGTGCTCTTAATATAGTATTCGACATTTTTTTTAAAAATTAACATTTCCATTCAGAGTCAAATGGGTATAATGCTCATTTTGCGTGTGCCCTGCTTGAAAGACTTGTGGCTAGATTTGCAAACATGGAACATTTACAACTGTGAACCACGACTGAGAAGAAGCTGAATATGTAAAGGAATAAAAAGCTATTAAATCCCTTGAACAAGTATTCCACAACTGTCTTTGAGCAAACAAAATGCTTCCAACAATTTTAGCTATAGCTTCTTTCTGCTTCCATTCTCCATTCTTAAAATGGAGATAGTCACATTCTTTTGCAAATGTTGGTTCACAGATGTTGCTTTTACTGCTCTATTGTTTAAGGACAATACTTGATCTTCTATTCATACCAAGAACAATTGAATTCACAATATCCCATGTTACACGAAGTTTGAACAATGCTAACGTAAACATGCATCTTTCTTGAAACCTCGACATCTCAACAGTTTAGGCTTGATCCATGCTGGATCCTCTTTCGACCACTGCTGTGCCAATCACAGCTAAAATAAATTTTCTATTTCCATCCCATGCTTGGTGTGGGTTTCACTATAAAGATTAGCTGTTGATTGCTTTTTGTTGTCTTTGTTGCATATGGCTTGGTCACTGCCACAAAATAAATCAGTCGTGATTGTGTTCTTGGTAGACTACTTCAGTGTTGTTATATGACGGGTTGAACCAATTTGACAGCTCACGGCTGCTGAAGGACTGTCCCTGCTTCCCTGTCTGGTTTCACCAGCTTCCTAAAGCTAGCCCCAGTTTTCCGTCTCACCTGTAAATAAAATGATACACAGCTCACCAATCCTCTCAAAAACTAGCCCAACAAAAGGAATAAATATGAGGTTTTTGACAATTTACTGTTCAGAAGTGGCTTAAAGGGTCAGGTGAGCATTAGTGCTCTGAGAAGCAAAAGGGAGTGGAAAGCAGCACATCCTGCCCAAGAGCAGGATCTGTCCCTTCCAGATCAGCTCAGCTGCCTAGCCTTGCCGCACATGCTGAAACACCAGGCTTTTGATAAGTGCAAATGCCAAAATTATTTTCAGAATCTTCAAAGCTATCAAAAAATCACCGTTTTCTACCTCATTAGAATCATCTTCAAGGAGAACAAACTGTGCAGCTTCTGGTGCACAATTATGCCACGCCGTCTTCCCCTTTTCTCCACACCCAGCTGGGCCTGGATCCTCAGCAATTACTGCCAGCACTGCCTGCCAGCCTTGTTCGGCTGAGATCACCTCACAGGGTTTCCACACCAACAGGAAATCCTGTCTTGTGTGCTGAGTTTCTTGTGGCTGACAAAAAGCTGTCGGGAACACTGAATACGAGCGGTCTGACCTAACTCCATGAGAAGCAGCAGGGCTCTCTCTCTGCTCTGTAGATGGAGGTACATCATTTCCTAGATGCCAGAATTAACATCACCAAATCCTGTGGTTACAGCAAGCACTCACTTAACATTTACTGCAATGTGCACCCATGCAAGCTGCCCCAATCTCTTTTCTACCTAGGAATTGTGTGTGTTTGAAGAGGTAGGAGGGAAGAGAAGGAACAGAGACAACAGGGGCTAACTGCTGAAGCAAGCTTTGCTGGGGAGGGGTTTCCTGCTCTGTGAAATTCACTGGAAGAAAGCAGCATGGCCACAAGGCAGGAGGACGTGCGCTGGGATCTTCAAGACTCTGTGGCAGGCGTTGCCCCAGCCGGCCTGACAGCCCCCTAAACCA